ATACTATAGATAATATATATTAGAATAATATAATTTATTTATTCTAATATATTTATTAATAATTATTCTATAATATATATCATAATATAATAATTATATTCTAATACATTTAATATATAATATATTAAATATAGTATTCTAATACTTAAAGCATATATTAGAATATAATGTATTTAATCAGTCCCCTTTTGGGCACATTTATGTTTTTTCTAAGTTTTCACCCTTATAATGTTTTGATAAACATCACTGTGGTGAAATCTTTGAAGCCATCATCAGTGATTTTCTTATAAGTGGAATTTCTGGGACAAATGATGTCCACATTGGAAAAGCTTTCTTTGATGCCTTGCTAAAATGCCCTTCCAAAAGCTTAAACCAGCTTATACTGCTAAGCCATGTTTTTGAGAATGGACTTCTCCATACCTCATTAAAAGAGGATTCCGTCATTCCTTTTCTTGGTTTTTAATTTGTACATAAAATTACTTTTTAAAAATTTACACTTCTGTGATTACTTACAATGAATATCTAATTATGCATAGACTCTTCCAGCAAGCAAAGGTTACTGGTCAAAATTTTCCTCAGACTCAGTGCATCAAGTGAACGTTCACACATATTGCAATTGATAGGGTGAAAAAATACATATTAAAGTTGTAAAGAATCTGGGAAGTTGTCAACTGTTCCAGGTTATCTGTGTCACAACTCATCTCTATGTGGATAAGAAGGAGGTGATGATAGAATTATTCTAAAGTTTCATGTAACAAATCATTTTTAGAGCAGAAAAAAAAGGTGAAATTTTCTCTTACTAAACTATTATTTTATAAACATAACTATGATGCCAAAATTGGACAAAATTTCAAGAAAAATAATGGATTTATGACACTTGAAAAAATTAGCTTCAAAAGCCTGAAAATTACATTAGCAAGTCATATATTCTAAAAATAATACACAACAAATAAGTAGAGCCTACCTTGGGAACAAAAGGATAATTATATAATAGGAAATGAGATCTATTAAGATAACTTATCACATTTATGTCTGAAAGATGAACATTTGAGCATCCCAATGGATGTCCAAGAGACATTTAATAACATTCAATACAAGCTTCTAAAACATTAGTCAAATAGCACCCATGTCCTTTAGTATGTTAAAGAATATCTGACTCAAAGACACAGCCAATATCTGACTTGATGATATCACAACACTGAAATTTATATTAGGATCAGGATGAAGAGAAAGATGCCCACTCTTCACTTAGATAGAAGGTGTTAAGACCTGGTGTTTGATAGACAAGGAGGTGACTATAGTTAACATTAATAGTTTGTACATTTGAAAATAGCTAGAAGAGAACAATTTGATTGTTTCTAATGTAAAGGTAAATATTTCAGGTGATGGATATCCCAGTTACTCTGCTTTTATTATATAAATGTATCAAATTATCATACGTACTGTAAACATTTGTACAGCTATTATGTATCAATAAAAAATAAATTAATTGATTTTAAAAAGCCATAAATATCTAGCAAATTGCTCTTAATTGTGACTTAGAGCTTGATAGATACTTAATAAAAGGCATAATGTTGAACTTCCTACTGAAAAAAAAGGAAGATGCCCACTCAGAACCCTCATTTAATACCTTAGAATGGTCAGGCCAAAGCAATAAATAAGGCAGGCGGAGAAATGAGATATGATTAAATTACTGTCTTTGTGTGTCTAAAAATTCCAATAGAATGTACTGCAAAAAAATAGGCTCTTATAAGAATTTAGGAAGATGATCATTTGTAAAATATAATAATTTATAAAATAAATAAACATACAAATATAAATATCCAGAAACAATCTGTTAAAAATATAATATAAATAAAAAGAAAGAGCCAATCTAAGAAAACTAGACCTCTGATGAAGACAAGTGATTTTGCTGAGGGACTAAACACAAAAAATTTTAAAGTAAAGAGAAAAGCATATTTCCTGTGACAGAAAGAGTAAAAATTAAAAAGGTGTCAGCTTTTGTCAGATAAATTTATAAATTTAATATGATTTAAAAAATAGTTTTCTTTTTTTTAGTGGTCAAAGTAAACACAACACAGTTAGATTAAGTTTATTTGAAATAAGAATTCCACTGGCAATGGCAAAAAAGGCATTGAAAATTAATGGTAGTAAAGGAGAATCACCACTTCCAGGTATTAATCCATATTATAAAATACAGTAAAAAACAGTGAGTTATTGCATCCCGGAAGGCAGACAAATTTATTAATGGAAAAGATATAAAGTGAAAAAAATGGGTCTGAATTAACAACCACAACGAAAAAGGCTGCATCTATTAACTTGTAATTCCAGTTCAGTGGGATGACTGTTTAGGATGAAAAAAAGGATTGATCTCACTTAGACTATGGACCAAAATTAAATTTTGATGGATGAAAAGGCTAAATAAAAAAGAAACCATGGGAAAAATGGGAGCATAAGGCTCTCATCCTGGGGTGAGAAGGCTGTAATCACACAAGTAAACCAAGAACTTTAATTAAACATTAATCAGCCCAACCTGATCCGATGAATTTGTCTGGTTCACAAAAGACATTATACCCTTTAAATAAAAAAGTGCTGTTATAAATCAACAAGAAAATTGATGATAGTCCTGAATATGTAATTCATAAAAGCAGAAATACAAAAACCAAGGAACATATTTTTAAAAGTTCAATTTCAATAATAATTCAAGAAATGAATTTAAAATAACAATGGAATAAGATTTTTGTCTGAAGTTTAATTACTATTATTATTATTTAATGATAATACTTAATCACCAAGATCGCAAATAAGAGGCCACCTCATATTAAACTTTGCCAACAGCGGAGTAATGTGGCGCAATATTTTTTACAGACAATTTGGCAATATTCATAAAGGTAATTAAAACCTTCACGTTTTTTAACACTAGTAATTCTGTTTTTAAAATCTTTTCCAAAAGAAATTTAGGGAATAGAAATAAGTTTTTAGTGAATTGTGAAATACGCTTAGTAAGAAGTTATTGAAATTCATGTCTGTGTATGGCCCTTAAGTGAGTGTATGTTTATATATGTATATATGAATTATATATATGTATTTATTTTAAATGAGGAGTTACATAAAAAAGCATTTATATATAGACAAAAAAGACATAGATTACAAAGCTAAAAGTCAACACTGTGGAATCTCTGAGTTGGTAGCATTCCTGGCAGTTCATTTTTAAAATACTTATTGAATTTTCCATTATTTTCAAAATAAATATGTATTATTTTTAAAAGTATAAAAATTTTTGTTTGAAAAATAATGCAAAACCTGCAGAAATAAAGATCCATTTACAGAATAATTGAATAAAATGTCTTGATTTTCAAAATTCACTTTTTTTTATGAATGGATATTCCCTTCATTGAAATTTGCTTTTATTATTTTTTTCAATCAAGTCTGGCAATTTTCTCTCTCCCAATTATGTAAGAATGGTTTTTGGACACTTGGCAATGTGACTTTATAGCAGAATGGGAACAAGCATGTACTTACCCATTGTCTGGAAATTAAGTGCCACCATCTGACAACCTGCATTCCAGAAGAGCTGAGGCATATAATTGGATGAATCCACACGTGTTCCTTTTGGATATATCCTGCTAAGCTGCATTTTGTTATATCTGGACCATCATGTTAAGTAGTGAATACAATTATAAAAATATTTAGTCAGTAATACTAAGAAGCTATCTTCCATCTTTCTCCATTTGGAAAATGAAGTAAATATTGATGATCTCATTGGGCTACTTTGGGATATTTAGTGCTAATTTTATGAAAGAAATTAAATACCCTGTTTCATTTTAATTTAGTTCATGCATAATAGCAAAAATTTTTGTTGTCAGTAATATCAAATATGCAAAAAGCTTTCTAAACCAACATAATAAGTATGCTCTTATCACATAGGCATAGCATCACCTTTGCAGAGCCCCATGGGTAAAAGTCAATGAGGTAGCAAGAAGTGGCTGAGGCAAAGTCAATGTGATTTTGTGGAGAGTATTAAGGATGGACTTAATGACTAAGGACACACAAGGAGGCTGGAATGTGTTAAATCATTTGAAAGAATGATATTGTGTTTGGCAGAAGTAGATAATATGCACTGTATAGCTATTTTTGAAATGCTGTCTGCTCATTTTATTAATTTTCTCTGGGAATGCTATTTGTCAAGACTGTGGTACTCTTTATAATTGATAATAAGGTCAATGTATCATGGAAGTTTCTGATCTTGCTTCATATTTTGGTTCCTATCATCATCAGTTTTCCATCCTAAGAATCTTGTAGTTGTTGGACCATGCTATGTCTTTAAAACATGACTGACTAATTCCTATCACCAAGTTAGGTGAAGGTTGGTTAGGATTCTGAGCTAGGCAAAATGAAATTGAACCTCAACTCTCAACCTTGCTAGCTGAATAACCTTGGACAAGTTATTTTGTCTTTCTGTGCCTCAGTTTCCTCATCTATAAAATAGATTAAACAATTTCTACATCATAGGACTACTGTGAGAATTGAATGAGCTAAGACAAGGTCTATCACACAGTCAATAATGAATACTAACAATGATAATTTTCTAGCAGGACTTTATTTATGGAGTCAACATTTATTTCTTCTTCCATTGATGAATTTTAAAGGTAACTTTATTCTAGGACTTACTACATGAAATTGAGCACTTTGTGATATTTAGTGTTAATTTTATGAAAGAAATTTAATAGCCTGCTTTACTTTATTTTAGTTCATGGACAATAGCAAAAATTTTTGTTGTCAGTAATATCAATAAATCCATTCTTAGTAATGTATATTTATATTTACAATGTCATCATTATCATCTTTACTATTTGGACATATGGTACATATAAGTATGTGAGATGCCAAGTCAGGCATATATTTCTTTACATATATCTTACATATGTGTAAAGTATGCATACTCATGTTACATATGTTGTACCTAATCCAAAGAGCAAACCATAAAGATAGTATCATTACTTCTGTTTTATAGACAAGGAAAGTCTCGATTAAGCAAATTGCCAAAAGACACAGAGCTTGGTGGTGTGAAGGCAACCTTGAAATCTAGGCTTCCTTTATTCCAAGACCAGTTTTTTATTCCATAGGCCAGACTACCCCGCCCAGCATTGTATATGATACCTGAAACTATTTATCCGCCCCAGGCTATATATTTAAGCCATTTTATGCATCTTTCTCCTTATTAAAAAACCAAATGAACAAATAGCACAAGACTTCAGCAGTGTTCATTCTGCAGCCATTCGTCAAATCAAGGATACTCTACAAATTCCACCGGAGACTTGGTGAGTTGTTCAAGTCCTTTGGTTTCCACGAAGGAAGACATTTCAAAACTTTTATTTCTTTCTGAGTTAAGCAACAACAAAACAAAAAAAGGGAAGATGAGAAATACAATTCATTGTTATAAATTATAACTTATAAAAGAAATGGGTAAATGTTCAGTGAAGTTGAGAGCAAACAAACCTCAATGTAACTTTAATATTTAATTTTTTTTTCTAGTGCACTATTTACCTGTAACAAAAGCTGAGTCTTGTTAGTTGTCTTTTCTAATATTTGCTACTTGGGTCAGAGCTACTTATGCTTTTGTAATTTAGGGACATAAATGAATTTTAGATAAGTATAGTGTGGCAATAAAAAAATTTGTCAAAAGAGCAGGGACCCTGTGGGAATCTTTTGTTCTAAATTCACCCAGATTTTGTATATACAAAAAAGTATATACAAACTGACAAGGGCCAATGTGGGGTTTAACAAAAGAGACCATGGGAATGTTTGTGCTAGGTGCTATCTCTCTCATACCCACATTGTCACCTTATCAGTTTGTATATATTTTTTTGTTCAAATAACTAATATGACAGAATTATGGTCTTTGAAAACAGAAAGATCCTTGGAAATTTTCCAGTCTCATGGCTTCATTTTCATATTAGATACATGATATGGTTTGGCTGTGTCCCCACCCAAAATCTTATCTTGAATTGTAATACCCACAGTGTCAAGAGGGGGTTACCAGGTGGGGGTAATTGAATTATGGGCGTGGTTCCCTCATGTTGTTCTCATGATAATGCATTAGTCTCATGAGAGCTGATGGTTTTATAAGCATCTGGCATTTCCCTTGTCTATTCTCATTCTCTCTCCTGCTGCCCTGTGAAGAGTTGCCTTCCACCATGATTGTTAAGTTTCCTGAGGTCTCCCCAGCCATGCAGAACTGTGAGTCAATTAAACCTCTTTTCTTTACACATTACCCAGTCTTAGATATTTCTTCATAGCAGCACGAGAACCGACTAACACAGTATGAAATAAAATGGAGACCAGAGAGGAGGATGTGCTAAACACAAGAGAAACATTTTGAAAGTGAAATTCAAGCCTCCAATTAAAGTGAGAGAAACAAAACAAAGTTATCCTAGTTTAGAAAGACCAAGAGTCACTTTCTACCCTCGTCCCCACTAAAAAACAACTATTATGAGCAGTATTTTAGGTAAGTATCGCACAGGGTGGTTATACAGCTCCAAATTTTTTAAACTGACTTATCTTTGAGATATTTTCCCTCTTTGACCTCTCTTTCAAAATTAAAACCTCGTTTTTCTTAATGATTTCCAGGCTTCTTTATCCATCTTCTCATCTTCTCCAATCCACTCTGAAGCAAACCTTGGCTTGTCTTATTTTGGTCCATCATAAATCTATTTTTATATGACTTATTAAATTAAGAATAACAATTAAATTAAGTCAACATTAATAGGTACTTGGTAAAATATGTTGAATATTCTTTTTTTAAGATTATAAAATCATATTAAACACATGGAGAAAAGTGCTTGTTTGTGAGTCTAGCTGGTGCTGTTGTTTCCAGGTTCTGACGAATCTAAATATATCGGCTCTTTCTCACACTTGGCTACTTGTCTTGGAACTTTAACTAATGAGTTAGAGAAACTCATTTTGCAGTCAATGAAATTACAGTGGTATAAAAATAACTACGCAAGGATGTTTCAAATAAAACAACCTGTAGGAAATATCAGAAATTAGGACATCGAATTAAATGTTGAGAAATCATTATATATAAACTCTTGGAAGTTGAATTCTTTGTTGTAGAGATCTAGATTCCATATACCACTAAGTGAAGACTTTTTGTAAAATTATACAAATATAAACAAGTGTGTTTTGTAGAGGCTTGGATTTTAATACAGCTGCAAAGCCATCCTTGATTAGAAGCTAGTACATTTAGGCAACATTTCTGTTTTTAGTGCACACCCTTATAAGCAGCTAGTAAGTTTCAAGGATTCCCTTAATCTGATAACATGTTACACTTCATGCAAATACAAGGGGCATTTTCATAAAATAACCCTTTTTTCTGGGTAAAGATGATATTTTTATTTGCATAAGTATGGATGTATAGTTGAATAAAGGGAAAACACAAAGTGATGTGAAGTTAATGCGTTTTATTCTAAACATACAAAATGTGCTGGACAAATGGAATATAGATAAATTGGTTCTATTTCTAATTGTCAGGGTTCATCAAGTCTCTGCCTGCTTCCCTTCTGGGAAATAGTTTATTTCAACATTATCACTTATGTAATAGATGGATGTCACTGTGCGTTGCGAACAAAAAGCAAAGTACAATTCCCAATTGTACTTTCTCATATGGTTATTTTTATATATTACAATACATGTATATTTATTATATATATGTGTAAAGGTAACAAGACAGTCAAAATGTACATATATTTAAAAATATATTCAAAAGTATAAATAGCTCTATTAAGGGTAACATTCTTTGGTCCCATTACTCTGCATTTAAAATATAATCATTATATGCTACAAGAGGGGTTTTTCTCCAGGGAAAACTTACTTTTTGAAATTTCAAATGACTCAAACTTGACCGGCTGAATGTAGTTCACCAGGTTAGACATTTCCTCTGTGGCCATAGCCTCACTTCCAGCGGTCCCCTGGAAGTAGGAATAAAACAGAAGACATTGCCAGAGTCAGCATTATATTATCAGTTATTTTCCTAGGAAAATGACAACATGACTCAAGCATGCAGATAATCATCCCTCCCTTTCTGAAAATTACAAAAAGAAAAATCATTACAGGAGAAAGGCAACAGCAACACCTCATTTGATAAAAGGGAGGGAGGAAGGGAGGTGGGAGGTTGAATGGCGGCTGGCAGCACGGCCCCAGCAGAATCACTCCGTACCCCCTGCCCCCTCCTAGAAATGCCTGATCTTAGCCCCTCTGCAGGCCTCAGCCTCAGATCCTGCATTTTACTGAGGTGACTGGAATGCCCATCAAAGTTTGAGAAGTACTGAGCTATAGCTCATCTTCTATTGCAGGGGGTCCATAGGTGTTGTCTAAGGTTAGTAATTTTTTTTTTCTTAACTTTTATTTTAAGTTCAGGGGTACATGTGCAGGGTTTTTTAATATATATATATAGGTAAACTCATGTCACAGGGGTTTGTTGTCCAGATTATTTTGTCACCAGGTATTAAGCCTGGCGTCCATTAGCTATTTTTCCTGATGTTCTCCCTCCTCCCACCTCCACCCTCAGTTAGGCCCCATGTCTGTGGTTCCCCTCTATGTGTCCATGTGTTCTCATCAGGTTAGTAAATTAAGAATTCACTGCACAATAAGAAAATTATTAGGCAGGTGACCACCAAATGAACTGAAAATTGTTAATAATAATAAAAAAGGTTTCTTTGTGGAAATGGGCAGGGGTGGGTAAACAACTCCTGCTTTCCTTCATCAACACTCCTCCCTCCCTGCCTTCTTGGTTCCTGGTGTGTCTTAGACAAGCAGGGTAGTATAGTGCAGGGATTAATGGCTCGGGTTCCAGAGCTAGCCTGCCTGATTTTGAATCTCAAGTCCACTAGTTAGAAACCGGGCAACCTGGGGCAACTTACTTAACTGCTCTGTGCCTCAGTTGACTCATTTGTAAAATCAGGATAAAATCAGTTCCTACAGCATATAGTGGTTTTTGATAAAAAAAATAAGTTAATTTATGTGAAGGAGCTTAGACCAGTACCTGGCAAGTGGTACAATCTTACGTTGCTTTTGCTATTATTAGATATGGCATATTACTTTGCTAGAGTTTTTAATGAAAAAGAAAACCAATAATACAGTGTTGGCACAAGTTGGCCCTCTGTAGAGTGATCTAACATTTTCTCACACTTTTAGAAGAGAGGATGCATGGAGATGAGTGTCTTATAAAAATTCTGGGAGTAATATTTAGGTCAAATGTTAACTGGGAAACATTCATTTGCAAATGGACTATCCAATTAGCAAGAGAGTTTAAAAATTATTTAGAATCACTGATCAGAAATCATACACAATTGAAATCATGCTCAGGAACATATACTTTGCCAGACACGGTAAGTTGTTTTCTTCCTGGAAATTAAAAATTGAAATTTAGTGGGGGAACATAATTAAACAAAACTTTAGACATTAAAAAATAATTCTAAGAGGAAGGACATGAAATAAGAGCAGCTTATTGTTTGTTTCATTTTTACTAAATTGTAGAGCTACAAGTGCTGAGACAGAACATATCTAACAAATTTGAAAGCAGATTCAATATAAACCTAAAAATATGTATTTTTTAAGAGAGACAGTGTCTTGCTCTGTTATCTAAGCTGGAGCACAGTGGTGTGATCATAGCTCACTGCAGCCTCAAATTTTTGGACTCAAGCCATCCTCCTCCCTCAGCCTCCCTAGTAGCTGGAACTACAGGTGTACACCACTGCACCTGGATGTGTTTTATCTTTCATTTTAACTTGTTTTTAAAGGTATGAGGTCTCACTCTGTTGCCCAGATCGTTTCAGTATAAACTTTGGCTAAGACAAAATTCTAAAATTCCAAAATTCCGATTGACCTGCTTCTGATTCTCTTCTAGGTTCTGTGCACTTAATATTTTTGAGCTAATCAAGTTACTCGGGATGCCTAAGTTTATATAAATAGGTAGCTCTAGTGTTCCAAAATTACAACAATGCAATGAATGTCACAGTTCTGAGCATTTTTCTAAACCGCATATCTTCTCTGGTCTTTGGACCATTTCATAAGCCATTTAATTGCATCAAAAATTGAAGCTGGTCATTGGAAGGCACAAATTTACTTTTTGCCACTAGATGGCAGAAAGTGACCATGAGACAGATTCAGGAGGGTACAGGTTGGTGGAATGCCTTTGGGACCAGAAACCCTAAGTACCCACCTCATCCATTGAAGATTTTTTACAGTCATCATCATCATCATCGTCGTCACTTTCCGTATCAGCTTCTCCTGTCAAATTTTAATAACAGATCATGATGTCAACATTTCAACATTTAGCTTTAAAGCACTTGTAACACATATTTTATCAAAAATTAATTACAGATTTCCTTGGAAGTTGGGCTTTCTGTTGGTTTTAAAATTATTTTTTTCAGAGATTTAAACTTCATTCGTTATAGGAAATTATACTGACCTTTTAAATATAGATTTTTTTCCTAAACTGGATTTGTTCATAAATACCACTTAAATTTTTCAAAATTCTATTAAAAAATGCTTGTCTTAATATTTTTTCCCTATATGTTTTTAAACATATGGCATTGAACACAGTTTGCTGGCATTGAACACAGTTTGTCTTCTATTGTACGTGTATTCTGTTTTGATATACAAACACTCTCTCAGTGTCTCTATGACCCCGAAAACAAATAAATTATCCCTCCTTCATCTTTCCCTTCTTTCCCAAGCCCCAACTCTTCCATGCAATGCTTGGTCAGCACATAGCTCAGCGATCTTGTGTTGACATTTTCCCCAAGGCCAGAGAGGACCCTGCAGTAGTGAAAGAAGTTAGGAGCTGGGGCAGGAACTCTGGGGCTTTGCCAGCAAACTCACTACACAATAATCGTGAAAGGCCAACTTTATCCTAATATTTGTCTGCAAGCTTATTTGATGGATGTATTGTCATCACAACAAAGCACATATCGTAGAAAATGCTGATATTCTTTTTAAGAGGTCAGGATAACATGAGTGCATCCTTAAATATCAGCATGATTGGAAATCTAACTCCATCAGAAATAATTCAGCTTCATATTTAGCCAATATACAGTAATTAAAGCTACATATTTAGCCAATATACAAGTAATTAAATAAATTGTTTTTCCCCTGAAGAATTAGTGGATATTTCTGCTAGGTTAAATATTCACATCAGTATGAAGCATTACATTCTTCCATAGCTATGGGCTTCAGTCAGACCCAGTAAAATCCATTATATAAAAAAGATTTTCAAGTAAAAAGTCAACGAGGTTGGAAAGTTCTAAATTGATTTAACTACTATCTTTCAGGGTTCACACGATGCAATAGCATGATGAGTCCAATAGATGGCAATAATGGTTCAACAATGAAGTAACTTGCACGCCCCCCCCACCCCCCGCCCGCTGCCAGCCTTCTGAAAGTTAGCTGCCCTACTCGATCTATATATAAATGGAGACAGTACCACTGCACTGTCCTCTGAGAAGCTTATAAATGTTTTCACTTGGTTGACACAGTTCAATTACTGAATGACAGCACTGAAAAAAGTATTGCTTAAAAATCTCCAGGGGAGAAAAGATTTCTGGGACCAACAAGGGTTATTATGTATTGGATTGTTTATTAAGGAAAACCACATACAACCACTTTATAACGCTGATATTGTATTAGTTAATAAGGTGAATTGATTATATTTTGGATATAAAACGTGTCTTACTAGTATATTAGAGACACATTCTTTTAGGGTATTGCCACTTAAGCATTTTTATAATGAAATTTATCCCAAGTTCTCATTACCTTTTAAAAAAAAATCAGAGAGGGGATTCTTTTAATTAAGTAATTAAAAAAAAATTCTTTGGCAGAGCTTTCTACAAAATACTTCATAGGACCCAACAATTCACAGTCATTTCAAATAGCCAATCAGGTCATTCTTTAGTTTCTGTGGGAAAGAAAGAATTTGTCTTGCTTTACTGGAAAAAGCAGAAGCCTGATATTTCTCTTGTAAATCTTTGGAGGGATGTTCGGGGAATCTTGTTGAACTATAAAAGATATCTTACTTTACCCTAGTTCGTTAGGACAAGTCTACTAGCAAAGGGCTGAATCCTGCAAGAGGCATCTGGCCTACGGGGGTCATGATAAGTCAACTAGCTTTGAAATACAATACCTTTCACGTTTTTCAAGTTACTGAGTTCCCAATACTGTGAATATCTACAAACCAAATGGTAAATTAGCAGTGCTCTTTATTCAGGGGCCTACCTACGTATTAAAATGTCCAAAAGTTTCCATTGATTGCATAAGAGACGACAGGGCTAGCTTAGGAAATCTACTGAATAACTAACAGATTGTTGCCCTTTCTCTGTATTAAGCAATAACGTTCACAGCCTGTAAAAATCGTCATTTGTGTTATGCATCCTGTTAATAAGAGGAAGAGAACTGGTAGTGGGAAAGGCAGATGGTAAAAAACACAAGCATCCACATGCAAAGGATGACAAGGTTTGCTTGCTAGCATTCAAGGGATAGAGTTGTGTTAGGAAATAGGTGTGAATGATAGGCCTGTTAATGATATTCACTTCCAAACTTCAAAGAGAACATTTTTACTGAGAACAAAAATTATTTTTGAAAACATTTTGAGAGACCTGCACAATAATGATGAAAGTCCACATTCACAAGCTACAGGACAAACCCTTTCAAAGAATTATATAATGTCTGTTGATAAAGATTTTAATCTAAACAAAAAAACAGGCAACTGAGACAGAAAAATAGAAGAAAAGATAAATCAGAGTCTCAGGCTACATTTTTTTTTTAACCCTGATTGTCCTAGAGTTTATATTTTAATTATTTTAAAATCTTATAACTGATGCATAATAGGCGTACAGAAAAGTACACATATTGTAAGTCCACAGTGCAAAGAATTTTCCCAAATAAACGCGTCTGAGTAAGTGATATCCAGATCAAGAAACAAAATATAACCAATCTCTAGAAGGCTCTTTGACTCTCTTCTGGTTGCTTTTCCCCCAAGGGAACCCATTATCCTGACTTCTAATAGCATAAATTAGTTTTGCCTGTTTTTTGTACGTTACATAGGTTAAATCATACAGCATGTAGTTTTTTTGTACCTGACTTCCTTTGCTCAGCTTATGTTTATTTATAGTGATTCATCCATAGTTTTCATTTAGCTATAGATCATTCTCATTGCTGCATATTCTTCCTTTGTGTGAATATACCATAATTCATTTATCTGTTGATGGGTATTTGGTTTCCAGTATTTGGCTATTCTGAATACCGCTGCTTTAAGCAATTCTTGTACGTGTCTCTTAGTAAACCTAAATACACATCTTTGTCAAGTATATACCTAGGAATGGAACACCTGAGGTACAGGGACTGCATATATTCAGCTTTTACAGACACTGCTAAGTGGTTTTCCAAATTGATTGCTCCTATGTTTAACTTACAACTGAAAAACTTCCTAGAGTCAAGCGTAAAGTTTCTTCCACTTAATCACCCTGCAATCAGGAGATGTCTGGAATGTAGTCTTCAGATTGCCAAGCTTCTGACTGAACTTGGAAGATAAATTAGACTAAATGACAAATAATCCAAAGGAAATGAGTGACCACTGAATTCTTTTCTCATCAACCACAGAAATCTATTTCGACCTTAATTTAAAAGGGAAAGAAATGATATTAGGCATCCTCTAGGAGCTTCGAAAGATAATTTAAGCAATTTTGCCATGTCACAGATTTTAAAAAGCTCTTCAAAACATGAAAAGATTGAAATGCCCAGAACTCTTCAGCATATCGTCATTGACAATGCATCCAGCGCTCAGTTCTATAGTTAATATTTCCCATTATGAAGCTTAAAGTCATATGGTCACTCTGAAGACTATTTGGCTTACATGGTAGCCAGAATAATGACCTTCTAGAGATGTCTCTGCTCCATGAATATGTTAGCTTGCATGACAAAAGGGACATTGCAGGTGAGATGGAGTTAAAGACCTTGACATGGGCGCAATTATTCTGGATTATCTGGATGGACTTGAGTTCTTGCCAGCAGAGGACATTTCCTGCCTATGGTCAGAGGGAGATGTGACCACAAAAGAAAGGTTAGTGAAATGCAGCCTTGCTGGCTTTGAAGCTGGAGGAAGGAGCCCCAAGCCAATGAATGTGGGTGGCCTCTTGAAGCTGGAAAAAGCAAGGAAACAGCTTCTCCCTTAGAGCCTCCAGGAAGGAACACAGCCCCTCCGACACCTGGAGTGTAGCCCAGTGAAACCCAGGGGTCTTCCTGACTTACAGGACTAGAGGATAATGCATTTGTGTTGGTTTAAGCCACTAAGTTGGTAGCAGCAAGAGAAAACCAGTAGTTTAAAACTGTGCAGAAATAGGAATGTTCAAAGTCCTTCAAAGCTAATTTCAGAGCAGCAGAATCTTTTTAATTCTTTTTTTTTTTTTTTTTTTTGAGATGGAGTCTTGCTCTATCACCAGACTGGAGTGCAGTGGCTAGATCTTATCTTACTGCAACATCTGCCTCCCAAGTTCAAGTGATTCTCCTGCCTCAGCCTCCTGAGTAGCTGGGACTATAGGCACATGCCACTACGCCCAGCTACTTTTTGTATTTTTGCGAAGAGACAGGGTTTCACCATGTTGGCCACCAAAGAAATGGGATTTCACCATGTTGGCCACCAAAGAGATGGGGTTTCACTATGTTGGCCAGGAGGGTCTCGAACTCCTGACCTTGTGATCTACCTGCCTTGGCCTCCCAAAGTACTGGAATTACAGGCATGAGCCACCACGCACAGCCCAGAACAGCAATTCTTAAACCAACACAGAACATGAGGGGGAGAGCCCACCAACCCCTCACCGGCTCCTGGGGATGAGGGCTCGAACATGCTGGAGGAGTCGCTGCAGGTGTTGGAGGCTTGTTCTGAGAGCTTCTTTTTGCCGCTTCCTTCTGATGACTTGTGTGATTTCTTCTTATTTTTCACCAAAATTTTATACATTAACTCCATAGGGCTTGGAAGAGGAACTCCAGATTCCAGCTAGTAGAAATGAAAGGCATACTCTTTAAAACTACTGCTCCCTCTTTCAGATCCCCTCCCCAGACCCCCTGTTCAGCTTTGGATACCAAATGTCTAGACTGTTCTTCCCCACCTTCAACACTGCTCATTAAACTCTTAGTGTATCCTGCACAGGCGCTAATTTTTTTTTTTTTTACATCAAAGATATATTTTCATTACTTTACTTTTTTTTTTTTTTAACACATTCTACATGAATAAGACCACAGAAATATACTGGTAGATTTGATGTACTAAATCTGAACATTTATGAATTTTCAAGTTTGTACATCTAATGGGAAAATCAATTTCCCACGAGAGGGTCATTAGATATTATATCAGAAAGCATGTGTGCAAGCCACAAGATAGGCTACTTTGAGAAAATCTATAGAATGCCTAAGTTGGTCCTCTATTCTTGGCTTGCAATGAGTATAGGGACTGGTATAAACTCACTTAAAAATGCATGGAGATCGGGCAAAAGGGTGCAGGAAGGAAAATGTTACTTTAGGATATTTCTGCTGCTTTCCTTCCTAAAACAGAGATATCATCATGGCAATAGGCGACCTGAGTTGTGCCACACCAAAAGGTGCATGCAAGGAAATAGAGAGCAGCCAGCAGGGACAGGCCAAGAAGACATTGTGCCACTTGCAGTGTCCTGTTTTGCCAACCCACTCGTCGCAAAGGGGTGTGATGAGGTTCCTTGGGAGTGAGCAGAGGCCTGTCCTGTTGGACTGTCTCTATGGGCTGATTGTAATTGTTGGGAAATCTGCACTCTTGATTGAGTTTCATCAGGCAGCCAGTGAGAGAGAAGAGCATGGGAAGAGGAAGAGAGCAGAGGCACTTCCTGCACCCTTTGTGGGGCCCATTGCTGGTATCCTCCTTGTCAAAGATTTCATCATCAACTACATTAATCTTACCAAGAAACATAAACATGAAAAGGAAGTAAGTCTCCCTCAACCTTGTTCATCAATAATGCACACATTCCTTCAAGGACAAACATCAAAACTGCTTACTGGATATTTTTCCAGGGGCTCCATGAGAAGGGCATCCCCAAAGATCAGTCGGCAGTACTCCGCCATCTTGGCTTGCTGCTTTGGGCTAAGGGAGAATAAGAACAGAAGAACGAAAGCAGGGAGGCTTATCCAAAGAGCCTGAACAGGATTGTATTTTGTTATTAACTACAGAAAGAAGTGATTCTCTAATCCCACCCGTCAGGATTGGTTTTTATCATCCTAGATATTTACCCTAACTTACGTGAATTTGAATAACATACATAAGTGGACAGTGAAAGCATTGACGTGTGAGGTGGTTCCCAGGGCAGACCTGCATAGACACAGGTGGAGGGGACAGCAGGTCATTTGCTGTCACTGGAGCCTTGAAATTCCCAGAGTTAGAGGCTCAGTCCCTTTTGTTTAACTCACTGATTCCAAGTCAATTGCAACACACTCGGAGAAAGAACCCTTTCATATTTCCATGTAAATTCTCAAGTGAAATTTGTAAAGCACTGCTGCAAAGGAGTGTTTATGAGGAGATGAAAGAGGATAGATAAGGAAGGATGGCAGGGAGGGAGCTGAGTAGGGAAAGAGAGACAATGGAGAGAGAAAAAGAGAGGGAGAGAATCTCAAAATGTAGAAAAGGGCAGACAGGCAAACAAACAGTGTGTCACTTGGGGAGGGGGTCCTGGAGGAAAGATAAAAGTAGCAGGCACCTCGGGGAAAGTTGTGTGCAACTCTTATGTACATAATAGAAAAGCAAAGGTGGTATCATTCTGAATATGTTGCCAGTAGGGACCTGGTATAATGGAAAAAGGCTGGCACTGCAGGGTTTGCTGAGCTGAGCTCCAGAGTCTGAACCACTCTGGGTCTATATAATGAGGAGAATAATAACTGTTCTTGGAAAGGGACAGAGGATGCTGAGAAGATGAAATGAAGTAATGGATGCAAACGCCTTTGAAACATTAAAAGAGCAGGGCAAATGTAAGATGATTCCACTGTTACAAGGCGGCGTCCGCCAGCTAGACTAGACAAATCCTATGCCCAGTAACTTGTAAACACAGCTGATATAGGGGAACATTCATATTCTTTCAATGCTACTGCTTCCCTTGACCTTTCAAAAAGCAATAATTTTTTTCCTCACTTCATGGAATGTTAAATATCATTATAAAGGTATCCAATTCCTTTAGGTTTTATGGATTTTGAATTTGATCTACAGTCTGTCGAACTTGATTTCCAATAGTTATCTCTACATGCTGCAATGATAATACATTTTAGCAGAACTGTGACTGTACTAAGAATAAGTAACAGCGATGAAAAGCCTTCTTAATGAAAATTCAAATCGATCATAAAATATAATTCTTATTTTCATTCCCTTTTCCATGAATGTTTAAGCCTGGATCATGAGCTGTTCTTTTTTTTCCCCTGGGGTTAGGGGGGTAGTATTGAGGGTTCAAATCATATTGCAGTGGTCCACAGGAAAAGTCACTATTTTGTATTCCTTTTTTTCCTTTTAAAAACAAAGCATGTGCTCTCGGGGGAAAGTGAGTTCTCTGGCATTGGAATATGAACCCCCAAGTCACTGCTTTCTTGGAACCGCAGGGAGAGGCTAAGGAGAGATTCAAAGGACTTGCAAAGTCCTTCACAGCAACCTTGCCCCTTCTCACCAGGCCTCTCTTGGTCTGTATGGGAGCTTACTAAATGGCTTATGCAGCCATCAGAATACACTACCGCATTCCTCAGCAGTATTAGGGAGAGAAGAAAAAGTACTAATCAGAGAATTGATCCTGAAAAGCATCAGAGGTTGTTGCAGAAGGACAAGTCATTAGAAACTGTCTATGAGAGCTTTGGGAGCGGGCAGAGAAGTGGCTGAATAGGTAGGGCCAGCCCCGGGCATCCTTGGGTTCAGGTCTTCTTCCTCCAGTGATAACTTGCACAGGGGTTCAACCAGGTCAGCCTGCACTGTGGCTGCTGCTGATAAGAAATGCATTTGTGCTGGGACGACATGTTCCAGAGTGCACTAAAGAAATGGCCAAACCCTCCATTTCCCTTTTACAGAAAGATGCTGCTCAATATCATGGAGCATTACTTCTTCAAGTGTGGTCCCTGAACCATCAGCAGCATCATCACCAGGAGCTTGTTAGAAGTGCAGATTCTGAATCAGAGACTCTGGGAAACTGGAGTCTGCGTCTTAACAAAACTGGATTCTGGTGTGTGTTCAAATGATTGATTAAAATAAGTCAACACGTGCTGAAGTTGATGACATTTTTCCTGAATATTGGAATTGGGAGCCCCGAATTATCTTTAATCAAACACCTGGAGTGAAAGCAGAGCGTTTTACCTGAAAGCCCTGCTCTCAGGATTTTCCAGGGAACCATATTCTCTCCAGTAGAGGAATTTCAGGGAGATGTCCCAAATATCCCCAAACAGGTGCCCTCTGTCAGGAAGTCCCCAAATCAGGCCCAGATAAAGATTTTACTGGAGCCATGATTATCACTCAGTTCCACTAAGGAATCACCTGAGCTGTTAATGCGCAGGTGACAGGATCAAGTCCACAGTCTCCTGATTCACGTAGCTCGGACAAAAGCCCCGGAACGTGCATTTTAAGCCAGCCTGCAGATAATTCTGATACAGGTGGTTAATAAACCATGGTGGTTACAGCTTAGCTCTTCTATCTCATTCACATCACCTGAGGTCTTATTAAAATGAAGAGTCCAACACAGAGTCTAGGGTGGGGCCCAGGACTCGGCTGCAGCTCTAAGTTGCTCACCAGTGATGCAGATGCTGCTGGTCTGAGGACCACACTTTTTTTTTTTTTTTTTTTTTTTTTTTTTTTGAGACGGAGTCTCGCTCTGCCGCCCAGGCTAGAGTGCAGTGGCCGGATCTCAGCTCACTGCAAGCTCCGCCTCCCGGGTTTACGCCATTCTCCTGCCTCAGCCTCCCAAGTAGCTGGGACTACAGGTGCTCGCCACGTCGCCCGGCTAGTTTTTTTTTTTTGTTTTTTGTATTTTTAGTAGAGACGGGGTTTCACTGTGTTAGCCAGGATGGTCTCGATCTCCTGACCTCGTGATCCGCCCGTCTCGGCCTCCCAAAGTGCTGGAATTACAGGCTTGAGCCACCGCGCCCGGCCTTGAGGACCACACTTTTAAGAACAAGAATCTATGTCTAATGTAGACGTTTAGAACCTGCCTGAGGGCTGGGTGTGGTGGCTTACGTCTGTAATCCCAGCCCTTTCGGAGGCCGAGGTGGGCAGATCACCTGAGGTCAGGAGTCCAAGATCAGCCTGGCCAACATGGTGAAACCCTGTCTTTACTAAAAATGCAAAAGTTTGCCAGTTGTGGTGGTGCATGCCTGTAATCCCAGCTACTCAGGAGGCAGGAGAATTGCTTGAACCTAGGAGGCGGAGGTTGCAGTGAGCCGAGATTGTACCACTGCACTCCTGCCTGGGTGACAGAGCGAGACCCTCAAACCAAACAGACAAACAAGAACAAAAACAAAAACAAAACCTGCCTCAGAATCGACTGGGATGGACAGAACAAGAGATAGGTGTCCAAGCAAAAAGTAAAATGAGCTATTTGGTAATCAGGCTATCCATGTTCTCAATAAACATGCACACCCACCTGATGGAACTAAATCAGAGCAGAGAGCAAATACTGAATTGAAAAACTCAGAGGAAAACAAACCGACTTTAATTGCAGGTCAGAACTGCAGAAATAAAAGGCATTAAAATTGCAATTAGCAAAAAAACAAAATCCTGACGTGTTTAGAGCATCAATATCAGCTATTATGGAGATGAAGTGAGAGGAAAAAAAAATCACAAATGCATTTTGAACTTCAGGTCATAGCAGACATTTCTGAGCATAATAAAATACTCCCAGTATTTTATTATATGCTGGGACAGAGGTCAGGGCAGAGGTCTGGGGCAGAGGTCAGTTTTCCCCACTGAGGAACTCACTTGATTTCTTGGGGGTAAATCCTCCAATCTGAATTAAACCAACTTCTTTCCCTATAAAGGAGGAATCTGCAATCCATGGAAATTAAGAACCTTGTTCAAAATTTCACAGTTTTCTGTGGCTGAACATGGGTAAAGCTTACTTTACTTGAATTTGGTGTAGAATTCTTTTTATAAAAGTGCTGGTTCACAAGTAGGATGTCAGAGTCAAGTAGGGCTTTCAAAAATATATTTTCAAGTCTTCTAGAAATTCTAAGTCAGGGTAAGAGTGTAACTCAGGAATCTGCATTTTGAAGACACTTCATGGGATTCCGATGTAGCAACAGGATACATTGAAAGCAGCTAATAGCAGATTCCCTTTTATTGTCCATGGATAGATGACTTCAGATATGGGGAGAGAAAACCAGAAATTTCAGTGGCTTTTCTCGTTTTTTCTTTCTTTTTTAATAAATTAATTTTTTTTGTTGTTTTTTGAGACAAAGTCTCACTCTGTCACCCAGGCTGGAGTGCAGTGGCGTGATCTCGGCTCACTGCAGCCTCTGCCTCCCGGGTTCAAGTGATTCTCCTGCCTCAGCCTCCTGAGTAACTGGGACTATAGGTACCCGCTACCACACCCACTTTGTATTTGTAGTAGAGACAGGGTTTCACTGTTTTGGCCAGGATGGTCTCGATCTCCTGACCTCGTGATCCGCCCGTCTCGGCCTCCCAAAGTGCTGGGATTACAGGAGTGAGCCACCGTGCCCAGTCCTTTTCTCCTTTTTCTCTAGTGTAAATTTGTTTTGGACGTGTGGCCCAAGTGAGCTGGGACCAGAGTTCTAAACCTGAAATTCCATATATGCAGCACACAGGGGAATAAAATAGTTCATCAGAGATAGCAGATAGGTGTCAGATGTCTTGCTGGTCTATTCTGAGGTCATTGTGCTGAGAAGGATTCTGAGGTTACTTCTAGGTTTAGTGGGAAAGAGTGTTGCTACTGCCTGCTATGGGTTCAGGAACTAGATGAGGTGACTCACAAGTCAAGCATGGGGTTTTAACAGCGAAGGGAAAGCTTATCGGTTTTCTCTGGGTGTGTGCTAGCCTCCCAGGAAAGAATGGTGGCTGAGCAGTTTTGATATCTGAAGGACAAGGGAAATATGAAGCAAGCAACTCCCACCCACTTCCTCCACAATAGAATTTTATCTTTTAGTATTTCAGTGCCATTATATTATCTCAGTGGTTTGGGACACAATCATGGCATCCTGGAAAGGCTGTTTTCCTGTTTTCTTTTGTCATATATAAATTATTAATGAACTTGTAATAGCTAAATTTATCATTTTTAAGCCAGTAAGGGCAGTACAATGGCACTAGTCTCTTAGCCTTTGTGCATGATGCAGAAATTAGTTTTCATGTCCAGTTCTGGATCTCTATATGACTGGTGTGAAGAACTGCAAAAACCATCTTGTGTTTAAGCATTACAAGACACAGAGGTGAACACTTGCTGGCCATTGTCTGGTGGATGCTCTCATTGTCTGAATTTGATGTTTTGAAGGCTTGCGATGCTTCTGTTTAGGCGTAGGAGATGTGTTGGTTAAAAGGTTAAAAGTGTGCATTTTGAAGTCACACTAACTGGATTGGAATCCCATCTCTGTCATGTTTTAGTTACATGGCCTTGAGCAAGTTGTTCATCCTCTTTAGGACTCAGTTTCATCATCTGTAAAATGGCGATAATCATAATATTTACTCTTAGAAGCACCTGGGTTTGTGGTGAGGCTTACATGAGCTGAGGCTTGTAAAATATTTCAAAAACTGCTTGCCACAAAAAAATGTTTAATAAAGGTTAGCTGTTATGTTGGTGGAGGTGGCGGTTGATATTTTTCTGGCTATGTCAAGGGGAAGCTCAGTGTAGCAGGTGTGACAATACAGAATGGAACCATAGCCTTTCATTTTGTCTAATTTAAATAGAAACATCTCTTTAAGAAAATAAGTATGCCAATCCCAGCACTTTGGGAGGCCAAGGTGGGCGGATCACCTGAGGTCGGGAGTTCGAGACCAGCCTAACCAACATGGAGAATCCCCGTCTCTACTAAAAATACAAAATTAGCCGAGCATGGTGGCGCAGGCCTGTAATCCCAGCCTATCGGATCGGCCTCAAGGCTTGGAGGCAGGAGAATCGACTTGAACCTGGGAGGCGCGGTTGGCAGGTGATCAGGTCGCCTGCCCCATGGCACTCCTTAGGCCTGGGGCAACAAGAGTGAAACCTGTCGCAAAAAATCAAAAACAAGAAGAAAGAAAGAAAGAAGGAAAAAAGAAAGAAGAAGAAGAAAAGAAAGAAAGACAAGAAAGAAAGAGAAAGAAAGAAAAGCAAAGTTGAAAGAAGAAAGAAAGAAAAGAAAGAAAGAAATCAAGAAAGAAGAAAGAAAGAAAGAATAAGAAAGAAAAGATCTGCCAGGATGCCCTTCTTCGTATTTAGAAAAAAATAAAAGGTCCTCAAGTTGAAACTACAATGCCTGAAAGAAAAGTGCTAAAGTATTGTGATAGGGTTTGAATCTGCATCTCTGACCAAATCTCATGTCAAATTGTAACCCCCGATGTTGGAAGCGGGGCCTGGTGGGAGGTGATTGGATCATGGGTGTGATTTCTTTTGGTTTAACACCATTCCCCTCGGTACCGTTGTTGTGATAGTGAGTTCTCAAGAGATCTTGTTGTTCAAAAGTGTGTGACACCTCCTCACTCTCTCTTAGTCCTCCTCCTGCCATGTAAGACATCTGCTTCCACTCTGTTTTCCCATGAGTAAAAGCTCCCTGAGGCCTCCCCAGAAGCAGATGCCACCAGGCTTCCTGTACAGCCTGTGGAACTGTGAGCCAATTAAACCTCTTTTCTTCATAAATTACCCACTTTCTGGCATTTCTTTATAGCAGTACAAGAATGGACTAATACATATTGTTACAGGCCAATTACAAATGAATGGACAGAGATGAGAAATTGTTTAACAGAGTCAATTGCAAAGCAGAACCATCACAGCAAACTAGGTATTAAATACAGCCTCTAAAGAGGTGCCCCTTTGAGTAAGAACAGAAATAGCATGGAACAGAATAAATTCCTTTCTCTTCCTTTGACCCTCAGAAGCGTTGGAGAAGCTATGTGCCAAAGGATTACATCATTCATTGAATGATTGTTGCATAATGAAACAGAACCACAAGCCAGTAAATGTAATATGGATTTCTGGAGGGCAAACTGAAAAAAATACAGATAATTATAAAATTGTCACATTTAACTACTTAGAAATTCTTCAAGTTGAAATTTGCTCATGACCAATCTGCATCTTTAATATTTAGTGAACTCTTTAAGAATTAGAGAATTGAAGCACGTGTTGCAAGTTACTTGGACAAAGAGGCTCAGTGACCTGGGAAAGGCTCTCATTAGGAAGGTCAAAAGAAACTTGTAATCCAAATTAGGACAGGTGCTGCTGGCTTTTAGTTGAAAATTCTGGCTTAGGTTCCTGAAATGAAAGCGGGGGCTTTCATTCAATATGGATAACAATCTTTCATTCTGTAGCTCTTTAAAGTGAGTAACTACATGATAAACTAATATACATCTATCAGATATAATTGTGTCTCTCTTTGGTAATGTGTGCTAAAATGAATATAAAACAGTGAAGTCAAAATAACCTTTTCTTTGTGTAGCTCAGCAATACATGCAGGCTATTTTGAAATTGGCAAATACAAATATTGACAAACGGGAAAGCCAGTGAAAAGGGGGAATATGGAGGTTTGGTGAACTGAGTTCTGTGTAAGTGCAAATTGGTAAAATGGAATTCACAGCTCTCCCTCCACCTGCCACAAGGTGATGTTGGACTCAAATTGTGTGCAATAGAAGGAACTCATGAAGGAGAGTTATAAAAGTGGCCCATAGCACCCCAAATCTATGACAGAGACATGTATTGTGTAGGAAAACATGTTCCATTGCATTGCAAAAAGAAGAGATTTTAATTTAAAAACCATACTATGGTATGAAAATAGATCCTACAAGTCCAATGGACAATTTTAATGTTGATTATTTTAAGTGAATTCCATCACCTACAAATGAAAACATGCCAGTTAATATATAACATGACTGAAGAACACCATTAATAATGTCAAATAATTTTAAATCTGATAAACAATTACTCAGAATGCCCCATTTGGGAAAAAGACTCTTTCCTGAATATGTTGAATACTTACGAATCCACATGGTTCTCAAATGAAAGGAGAATTGGAAAAGGTGAAGTCTTAAATGCACACTCCGCAATTGCTTCTATCACTTCCTGAAAATGAGAACACATGTATATTCAGTATGCCAGAAATTTTCATCTGTATATTCTTGAGGTGTATTAAATCTATTAATATAGTTGTCTTTTCCATTCAGAGAATTGTATCAAATGGCCTGAAATGGCTAGAAGGGATTTCGAGGGCTGCTGGACGGTGCTATTTCCGACTCTTGATTCTGCAAAGTTATAAGAAGATTGGATTTTGGTGGAGGGGAGAGAGAAATGCAAAGGAGAGGATTCTCCTGTCTGCTAATTGTATCTATTTTTTAATAATGAAAGAAATCTAATCATATTATAAATATTTGGGACAGTAAGAGAAGGCAAAAATTTTCACCCACAAATCCACTTTCTGAACCAAACCATTGTTAGCATTTCATTATATTCACTTCTAGTCTGTCTCTCATGGATTTATGTAGTTTAGTTTTAGTTACAGTATATATCAACTTGTATTTTTAAAAAGCATTGTTATTGAGATGTAACTTTTTTGAGATATAATCTGCCCGTTGAAAGTGTACAGTTCAATGGTTTTTAGTATATTCAGAGTCACACGAGCGCCATCTCAATATAAGTTAGAACATTTTTATCGCCTCAAAAAGAAACCATGTACCCACTAGCAGCCACTCCCCATTCCTGCATCCCACCCCACACACCTAGTCACAGGCAATCATTCATCTACTTTATGTCTTCATAGATTTGCCTATTTTAATTATTTCATATAAATGTAACCATACAATATATGGTTGTTTGTACTGACCATCTTTCACTTAGCATGGTTTCAAAGTTCATGCATGTTGTAACATGTATCAGTACTTCAATTTTCAATCTGCATTTTTAAAAATGTATGTGCCACAAGTTTCAATATGTGTACAAAATTCTAGAAAGTAAAGGTATCAAAATTGATTTAACCATTCCCCAACTGTTGGACAGCTACATTTGCAGAGTTGTCATTCAAATAATTCTACAAAGAACATCTTCATTTTTTCCCTAATATCTTGAATGATTTTCTGGGAATGAATTCTCGGAAGGGGAATTCTTGATTTAAGAATATGAATACTCTTACAGTCCCTCATGTATCTTCAAATTGCTTTTCATTTTAGATTGCCCAGAATAAGGCATGCAGGACCAGATTTCAATGCATATTCACCAGTTTGGGGCATTATTCTTAAAAATGTTTTTCTTATTTAAATGGTAGTAAAGTGCAGTCTCATTTATTATTTAATTATATCACTTTCAGTAGTAGTGAGGTTTCATATTCCCATACACTTGTTTTTAGTTATATTTATTTTTTTCATATTCTCCTTTTAAGTAGGTATTTCCACTCCTATTCCTTACGCCTGAGCCTTTTCTGCTATCGTCTCTACCTTCCCCATTCAACGTATAGCATTCTTTATATCCACTCCTGAAAGCTATTTCCCTGGCCCTAGAGTATAAATAAGGCTTTCTAATTCTGTACTATATTTGCATATATCCTCTAAGAAGGATTTGCCTGCATGGAGCGAGAAGAATCACTTTTACTGTTTCTTAGAAATGAACTCACAGATTATCTTTCATACATAATCAGTTTAACTTTTATGATAGTTGAGTCTGTCAAAAAAAAGCAAGCACTACAAAAGGTAAGCAACATCCAGATTTTAAATGCTATATTTGATTTATTTGAGCACAGGCTTTGGATTCAAATAGACTTTTGAATCCTTGCCTCTGAGATTTACAAGCTGTGTGACCTTGGGAAAATCACTTAATGCCTCTGTGTATTGGTTTGCTGACCTATAAAGTGGGGGCAATAAACCTCACTTCACAGATCTGTTGTGAAGACGCAGCAAGAGAAGGCAAAGGACTCAGCTCATCATGGTTATATATTCTCAGTTCAACTAAGGTGCAGAGATATTAACTGACTTACCTTAAGTCATAGAGAAGAGAATCCCAGGAAGGGATTGAATCCCAGGAAGGGATTAAACCCCAGGAAGATTTGTCTGACTCTAGAGCTTATTAATACCCAACCATTGCAGTAACTTCCATGTAGCTAATAATCTCAGCCAACTAAGAGCAAAGCCCTCAAAAGAACTGAGAATAGAGGTCATCAAGGATGTGGATACTAAGTGTGGGAAAAAAAGGGCTGGATTTTGTTTATTTCATAAATTTGGCACTAGTGTATCAGGTAAAGGATAAATACAGTAGAGCCATTCTCGCCTTCTCTCCTTCTCTCACATCTTTTAATTCCTCAGCAATCTTGTCCAAAATAGATCCCGAGTACAGTCAAGTGTCAGCACCTCCACTGCTATCATCCTAATACAAAAACCACTGCAGTCACTGCTGTGTTAGATTTTATCATCATTGCCACTTATTTGCTTCCCCCTTCCTTTGGGAGGATTCTATCTACACGCTCTGTTGACCATAGGCTTGGCCGTGTGTTTTATTTTGGCCAAGGGCCTGGGTGTGAAAATGACATGTGCTGTTGCTGAGTAGAGTCTTGAAGATCCATCATGTTGTTGTCCAGCCATTTCTCTTTCTCTTCTCCCATGAGTCCAGTGATATCATAGATGGGGGTTGTTCATTCAATATGAATTCCAAACAATAGCAATCAGAGCCACAGCTGACATCTAACCTGAGTGAGAAGTAAACCTTTGTGGCTGTAAATCACTGTGATCCTGGGGTTTCTTCTTATTGCAGAAAAACCTAGGAGAAGCTGACTGACAGAGTCTTTTTACTGCTTTCCTGGCTTCTAGTGCTTGCCGCTGTATTCCACACCATAGCCAGAGTCATTGCTCCTAAACATGAGTAGACAGTTTCACTCCTGTTAATAAACTTTCCAATGACTTCCCATTTCACATGGAATGAAATCCAAATTCATTATCATCATCTACAGAGCCTAACTTGATCTGGCACCTGCCATTTCTTTAAATTCATCTCCTTTTCCTCTCCCTCTCTGTCACCTGGATACAGTCCATTGATCTTGTTGCTTTTCCTTGAATATATCAGGCATGCTTTCATCTCACCATCTTTGCACTGTGTTCCTTCAGTCAAAAATACTCACATGAAAGCATGATTTATTGCATTGATTTGGGAGTAAGTACAGCATCTGTGCCTAAACATCACCTTACCAAAGGCCTGCCTCCACCATCCAGACAGCATAACTGAGCTCTCTCTTTTCCTTGCCCACTGATTTAGATTGTTTTAAAGGGCATGTTTCTATGCACTGTATCTTTGTGTTTATTTTGATCTATCTTTCCTCACTAGACAGTGTAAACTTCTTGAGGTAAGAACTTGTTCTCTTCACTGTTCTGCTAAGGCATATTCTAGATGCTCACAAAATACTTTCAGATGAATGAATGAATGAACTGATATGTAACAGAAGAGAAACAGAATTTATCTAGTTGTGTTCCCATTTATTCTTCTATTGACTAGCTCAGAGATCAGCACACATTTTTCATAAAGGACCAGGTAGTGTTTTAGGCTTTGCTGTACATAGAACTTCTATTTCTATAGAACTTCTATTTCTATGGCAACTATTCAACTCTGCCTTTGAAGCTTGTGATGATTAATTTTATGTGTCAACTTGACTGGGTCATGGGGTGCCCAGATATTTGGTTAAACATTCTTCTGGGTGTCTCTGTGAGGGGTTTCTGGAAGAGATTAACATTTACATTGGTAGACCGAGTTAAGCAGCCTGCCCTCCCTAATGTGGATGGGCCTCATTCAATCCACTGGAAGCCTGAATCGGAGGAAAAAAAAAAAAGAAAGAAAAGACAGAGTAAAAGAGAATTTGCTGTTTCTGCTCGAGTGTTTTTGAGCTGGGACATCGGTCTTCTCCTACCTTGAGAATTGGACTTGTACTGCAGCTTACACCATTGGCTCTCCTTATTCTTACGCCTTTGGATCAGGACTGCTATTGTACCATTAGGTCAGCTGGGTCTCCAGCTTGTCAACTGAAGATCTTGGAATTTCTCAACCTCCATAACCACATGAGCCAGTTCCTTTTAATAACTCTGTCTCTCTAGAAAGAGAGTCAGTCCAGACTAATGCATAGCCCCAAAGCAGCCACAAATAATATGCAAACAATTGGATGTGGCTATGTTCCAACAAAGCTTAATTCACAAAAGCAGATGGCAGGATAAATGTGGCCTGCAGAAGATAATTTGTTGACCTTTGGACTAGTCTGATCATTGGCTTAAGCAAAGCTTAAAACTTGATTGTAACCAAAGTAAATGTAATTTTGTATTATAGAAGGTTGAATGTTGATTCATACTCAATAGCCAGATTCATTTTTTTTTTTTTTTTTTTGAGACGGAGTCTCGCTCTGTCGCCTGGGCTGGAGTGCAGTGGCCAGATCTCAGCTCACTGCAAGCTCCGCCTCCCAGGTTCCCGCCATTCTCCGGCCTCAGCCCCCCGAGTAGCTGGGACTACAGGCGCCGCCACCACGCCCGGCTAATTTTTTGTATTTTTAGTAGAGATGGGGTTTCACCATGTTAGCCAGGATGGTCTCCATCTCCTGACCTCGTGATCCACCCGTCTCGGCCTCCCAAAGTGCTGGGATTACAGGCTTGAGCCACCGCGCCTGGTCCCAGATTAATTTTTTAACAACTTCATGGCTGAAATTTCCAATAAACATTGAGCTTTAATTTTTTTTAAAGTCCTTCAAATATACATGTAAATAAAAGTGTAGTTAGTCTTTGCTACCTGTTGTTTTTCTTGAAATGAAGTCTTGCTCTGTTGCCCAGGCTGGAGTGCCATAGCATGATCTCGGTTCATTGTAACCTCTGCCTCCTTGGTTCAGGCGATTCTTGTGTCTTAGCTCCCAAGCAGCTGGGACTACAGGCACGTACCACCACACTCAGCTAATGTTTTGTGTTTTTAGTAGAGATGGGGTTTTGCCATGTTGGCCAGGCTGGTTTTGAACTTCTGACCTCAACTGATCTGCCTGCCTCAGCCTCCCAAAGTGCTGGGATTACAGGCATGAGGACTGTGCTGGCCAGCTTTGCTAACTTTTCTGATGATGGCTC